TAAGCGTGAGTTGGCTTTGGGCATCCAATATGCCACAGCGTTTCTCATGGCAAGGCTATCAGCCAAAGTTTAACTCGTACCTTTCATTTTTCTTACTCATGTCAGTTTAATCACTTAACTCTTTTTTTTCCTTTCCCCAGCATAACAAATTGCTGATGCCACCGAATTTCTTTCATCGAGTGTGACTTGAATAGCCTTAAAGTAAAGGCTGGTTATTAAAAATCCACGCTCAGCAAGTTAGCCGAGCTTCAGCCGTACTTTGAATTTAATTTAGAAATTTATTTTTAGTCTAAAACGTGGGTATGAAAATGCTAAGAGCAGGCAGCGTTTTATTATTATTATTTAATTAAATACAACTTGCACGAAATGTAATTTAACTTAAATCCTCATAATTAATTAAAGGGAGTTGACTGTCCATCATTCCACTGGGGTGTGTGAATTTAGTGCTACAGCGAGGGAAAAAAGTATTTGATCCCCTGCTGATTTTGTACGTTTGCCCACTGACAAAGAAATGATCAGTCTATAATTGTAATGGTAGGTTTATTTGAACAGTGAGAGACAGATTAACAACAACAAAATACAGAAAATCGGATGTCAAAAATGTTATAAATTGATTTGCATTTTTATGAGGGAAATGAGTATTTGACCCCTCTGCAAAACATGACTTTGTACCTGGTGGCAAAACCCTTGTTGGCAATCACAGAGGTCAGACGTTTCTTGTAGTTGGCCACCAGGTTTGCACACATCTCAGGAGGGATTTTGTCCCACTCCTCTTTGCAGATCTTCTCCAAGTCATTAAGGTTTCGAGGCTGACGTTTGGCAACTCGAGCCTTCAGCTCCCTCCACAGATTTTCCATGGGATTAAGGTCTGGAGACTGGCTAGGCCACTCCAGGACCTTAATGTGCTTTTTCTTGAGCCACTCCTTTGTTGCCTTGGCCGTGTGTTTTGGGTCATTGTCATGTTGGAATACCCATCCACGACCCATTTTCAATGCCCTGGCTGAGGGAAGGAGGTTGTCACCAAAGATTTGACGGTACATGGCCCTGTCCATCGTCCCTTTGATGCGGTGACGTTGCCCTGTCCCCTTGGCAGAAAAACACCCCCAAAGCATAATGTTTCTACCTCCATGTTTGACGGTGGGGATGGTGTTCTTGGGGTCATAGGCAGCATTCCTCCTCCTCCAAACACGGCGAGTTGAGTTGATGCCAAAGAGCTCCATTTTGGTCTCATCTGACCACAACACTTTCACCCAGTTGTCCTCTGAATCATTCAGATGTTCCATTGGCAAACTTCAGACGGGCATGTATATGTGCTTTCTTGAGCATGGGGACCTTGCGGGTGCTGCAGGATTTCAGTCCTTCACGGCGTAGTGTTACCAACTGTTTTCTTGGTGACTATGGTCCCAGCTGCCTTGAGATCATTGACAAGATCCTCCCGTGTTGTTCTGGGCTGATTCCTCACCGTTCTCATGATCATTGCAACTCCACGAGGTGAGATCTTGCATGGAGCCCCAGGCCAAGGGAGATTGACTGTTCTTTTGAGTTTCTTACATTTACGAATAATCGCAACACCTGTTGTCACCTTCTCACCAAGCTGCTTGGAGATGGTCTTGTAGCCCATTCCAGCCTTGTGCAGGTCTACAATCTTGTCCCCGACATCCTTGGAGAGCTCTTTGGTCTTGGCCATGGTGGAGAGTTTGGAATCTGATTGATTGAATGCTTCTGTGAACAGGTGTCTTTTATACAGGTAACAAGCTGAGATTAGGAGCACTCCCTTTAAGAGTGTGCTCTAATCTCAGCTCGTTACCTGTATAAAAGACACCTGGGAGCCAGACATCTTTCTGATTGAGAGGGGGTCAAATACTTATTTCCCTCATCAAAATGCAAATCAATTTAAACATTTTTGACATGCGTTTTTCTGGATTTTGTTGTTGTTATTCTGTCTCTCACTGTTCAAATAAACCTACCATTAAAATTATAGACTGATCATTTCTTTGTAAGTGGGCAAACGTACAAAATCAGCAGGGGATCAAATACTTTTTCCCTCACTGTATGTTCGTGTACCTTATCCATTATATCACACGCACAGTCTGTTTCACTTGACAGGAATCGCGCATGAAAGTAAGACCTCCAGATTTTTCTAACATGCGCTTAATGTCGCTTTTGGCAAAAATCATTAAAGATGTGTGGCAGTGTGGTTGAGCGCACTTGAGTCACAATCAGAAAGTTGCTAATTCAATCCCAGTTCTAAGCTCTATCAGCCAGGCCTCTGAGTCTTCTAGACTTTATTAATATTATACGATTATGTAAACACGCAGATATTATTGCACCACATGTGAGCACCTGTGCCATAATTGGAAACTTGAGAGCTCAAATCCCACTGGAGGTCGACACATCTAATCATTCATCCGTGGTCAATGAAGAAAGGCAGCAGTGGAGCCCTCATTACTCTGCTAGTGGCATTGTCTTTGTGCTGTTCGCCTTTTGGCGTCCTCTGGTATAACACCGTTTTGAGACTAAGCTCAAAAGAAAGCTGTCTCTGCTGTGGACCAATCAGTTTCAAAGACAATGCATATATTATCAGAGTACGTTTTTTTGTTTGCATTCTGACCACAAGTATTGCGGTTAATGCAGACATGATTCCTTGTAAAAGGTTTCAGTTTGGTGTTTTAACATCTTTACACCTGGTTTGTTGCCAGAAAAAAGGGGAAAACCTATTCTCTGTGGATATTATATACAGATATTGGTTCCAACCGTGGAAATGAGAAATTTTCACCACCCACTCAAGGCCGTGAATGAATATGCTTGCCATACCATTGCTCAGCTGCGCAGAGCAGTACTTTAACCTTGACTTTGACTTCACAAAGCCAATCAGAAGTGCTGTAAAAACTATAACCGGATATTGCATTTTATTGTTGCTTATGATTTTATCACAAAACTATACTTGTGTCGTGTGAATATATATATATTATGTGATCAGTCTACCTCTCATGCCATAGTTTATTTCAGAAGTAATACATTTATGCAGCAATCTTAATAGCAGTAATATTGATTATTTATTTTAAGTGAAATGCTGTCACGCTTGGGCACTTGTGTCTTTCCGACAGTTGACCAAGAGCAATACTGCAGAAGGCAACTAACATGTCATTCGTGTTTCATTAATTAAGATGAACTGAAAACACAGTACCGTGTTTTCATATGGTGCTTTTGTTCTGCGTACCTTTGGCCGCAAACGAAATAAAACTTTGCACGCTTGCACCTTTACCTATGATGGACTCGACTCGTAAGAGTGAGCATTAACAAATGTTCGGAGTGACTTGAAATGATACAGAATGAGTTGCATAACCAAATAGAGACTAACTTTTGCTACTTCAATTACATTCTTATTTCCATATATTATTTATAGAAAGTATCATTATTATATATTTGACAATATTGGCTCTTTTTTTTTAAAGCACATTTTTTGCAATTATAATTGATTTTATTGGTGTAATGGAGTAAATGCTTACCCCGAGCTCTCATACTCTTATGGTACATTGTCTTTGAGTTGTGCGCCTTTTGGCGTCATCTGGTCCAACACCATGTGAGACTAGGCTCTAAGAAAAGCTGTCTCGGGTGTAGACCAATCAATTTCAAGGACAGTGCATACATTATCAGAGTTGTGTTTTTAATGTTTGCATTCCGACCGCAGGTATTGTGGTCAATGCAAACATGACTCCTTGTAAAAAAAGGTATCAGTTTTGTTGCCAGATAAAAGGGTAATAAAACAATTATCATATTTTTTACTGCCAAATGAGGTTCCAATGGTGTAAATGCTTACCCCGAGCTCTCATACTCTGATGGTGCATTGTCTTTGAGTTGTGCGCCTTTTGGCGTCATCTGGTCCAACACCATGTGAGACTAGGCTCTAAGAAAAGCTGTCTCGGGTGTGGACCAATCAATTTCAAGGACAGTGCATACATTATCAGAGTTGTGTTTTTAATGTTTGCATTCCGACCGCAGGTATTGTGGTCAATGCAAACATGACTCCTTGTAAAAAAAGGTATCAGTTTTGTTGCCAGATAAAAGGTAAAAAAAAACAATTATCATAAGTTATTTTCCCGCGATTCGTAACCCCGGTCAGAAAATCTTGCGGGGTGCGTCAAAATCAGCTCTCGTGATGTCGACGCAGTCGGAAGACGAATGTTACAAGCAGCTGAACACGAAGCTTCACAGTCTGTTGCCGTGTAGCAGCACCGAGCCTGTTGACGATTGGCTACTCCGTGTTCCAAAGGCAGATTTGACTCCTCGTGCCCTAGACTTGTTAGGACGGTTCCTCGATTCATTTCCGAAATAGTTTATTGGCGGCCCGTGGCATCAAAAGACGATGACTCGTGCCATGCGTTCGAATGGGAAAGCAGCTGTTGAATTGAGGCGACTTCTGATGGAGAGTCTGCAACTCAGTCAAAGGGAACAGATACAGCGTCAGACTGTTCTGTGAGTACCGGTGTGTTATGTTGCATCAGTGTACGTCAATTTTTCCATACCTTCTAGTGTGTGTGTCGTCAGTCAGTCAACCTGTGGCACCTGGGTCTGCCCCGTGGCCTCCTGCCAGCGGGCGTTCGACACTTCACGTGGCTCTAAGGAAAGCTGTCTCGGGTGTGGACCAATTAACTTCAAGGACAGTGCATACATTATGAGAGTTATGTTTTTGTTTGCATTACGACTGCAGGTATTGTAGTCAATGCAAACATGACTCCTTGTAAAAAAAAGGTGTCAGTTTTGTTGCCAGATAAAAGGGTAAAAAAACAATTATCACTTCACGTGGCCTCAAGGTGCACATAGCCTGGCACAAGCGTCGTGGTGACGTCACCACCACTTAGTGGCGAATGGCTGTTGTTGTTGAATGACTGGTGAGAGCGTATCCCCTTTCCTGATTCATCTCAAACGGCAATATGGTCATCATGATGACGATGAGAGCGACGTTGATGATGACGACGACGACGATTTCTATCATCTAGGAGGAGAACAGGATCAGTCCCCGGGTGGGGGTGGCAAGGAGTGGTCCGAGTGGAGCCAGTGCTCAACCACGTGCGGCGAGGGATCGCAGGTGCGCACGTGGGCCTGCGTCCCCAACCTCTGCAATGGAACCCTGCGCGAGCAGCGCATCTGCAACAACTCAGCGGTGTGTCCAGGTGAGGCCCGAGATGATGAATGTGACGCGCCGTCATCTCGTCTCCGGCGAAACGGGCAGGTGGTGCGGCCGTGCCCAGACCAGTCGACTCCGCAGTTTAGCTCGCAGTCCCCGGGAGGCATCCGCAGAGGGTTTATCTTTCTCTCCCAGGATCCATTTACCTGCGACTGAGCGACTTGGATAAAAAACAATGTGCGTACGTTTTGGCTGTGGATCATCCGTGTGCGTGCAATTTAATTCAATGGACGATTTTAAAAAGCATCTGTCTCCTTTTCACACGATGCATTTCATTGTGGTACTTTATGGACGTTTAACGATTTGGTGTAAATTCATTAATTTGTTCATATTGAGTCTCACTCATGCGATGTAGGCATCGAACGGTATGTGTGAGAATCGATTTTTGTATTTTGTAGAAAATATGCTATTGAATTACATTTCATAGCATTCTGATATGTAAGTATGTTGAACACATTTCGCACCGTACGTAGCCATCCATGCTAATTGGAGGTGCAGGGGAAGGACCACAAACCGCACACGTAGATCAGTTGTCAAGAAATAAGTTTTCGATGGATATAAAAAAGTAAAACAAGCAATACAATCAACAACACAACACATGGAAAGCTAGTACAGCCAATAGAAAAGAAGCATGTTACTTGGCAGAGTGAACCCAAGCCTTGAGCCAATCACGTCTTGAGAGGTGTCACCGTATAAATCAGCTGAGCGATCCACAGGCGAAGGTCGATTCAGTGAGGGACAGTCCGGCGGAACGGAGGAACGTGCAGGCCCCTTCGGTGGATCCCACCACTTTGGCTGGGCCTCGCGCTTCCCTACAGCAGGCTGGGGTTGGTTTGTGAAGACACAGGCAGGCTGAGCAGTGGGGCACCCCCAAGATAAGATCCTCCAGTGGGGCGCCGTTTCTCAAGTTGAGCTTGAGCGACCCTCGGGTTGTGAAGGACGTCGTACACCGCGTGAACGCGTGCGGGCCATCTCATTGCGTCCACGGATAGGGGCATCCAAGTTGGACAATAGGTGTAAATAACGCTCTCAAAATTTCGAGCTGTCGTGAAGATGATGATGATGATGTTGATGTTACGGCAAAGTCGGATTGGTACTCGCCAGTCGCACTGCGGGTGCAGCAGTCTGCAGTCGGCGAGGCGAGGGCTTCTAAGATGCGAGACCGGGTCTTGTATGCCACGCGGCCCTGGGAAGTTGCAGCGGTTGATTACACTGGTCAACAAAAAAAAAATTCTGGCCTGGACTTTTGCAGCTGTTTTAGACTAATTTCACGGTGTCAACCACACTACCATTTTGTATGCCATGTTCATTAACACCACGTATCCCAGCATCCTAAATGTCCATACAGGGGACCTCTATGTCTGTGTTTAGGTGGGTGGAGTGGAAGGCACAAGGCATGGATGGCTCTGTGATACTGGTGACCTGGATTCAAGTTATATCTGAACATCTCCTGGGCCCTTCAAAAGTTACATCATCCCCAAATAATAATTATTACACTGGTCAACAAAAAAAACATTTTTTTCTGGCCTGGACTTTTGCAGCTGTTTTAGACTAATTCCAGGGTGCTGATTCCAAATCTGATCTCAGATTTGCTCCATCACATCTCATTTTTATGCTATCGGCATACCCCATTTTCATTGATTGTACCCGAAATTAACTCTGTCACTTATGATTGCAAGTTGTTGCGAGTCTAGTGACTGCTTTAGTGTTAAAATATGGTGCTGTATTTTTAGGATAGTGTGTTTATAATATAATTTTATGTAGATATCCACATTTATTTAATATTTTTCTTCTACAGTTTTTATTGAAAATTCAATATTTTATATCTCAAAAAACCTGATGTGATAGACAAAAACTGATGCCAGATTTGGAATCAGCACCCCAAAATTACATTAAAACCGTTGGAATACCATATGCCAGAAAAAGTGTGTTGACCAGTGTAATGCACGAAAAATGAGGATGTGAATAGAGAATATGAATACAGTGGTCTGAGAAAGGATAAAAATTAATTACGAATTGAAGCCAGGTAGCTTAAATCAGTCCTACGAAGTAAAACTGGCTGGAAATCAGAAGAGAGGGGGGAGCGTGAAGAGATGGGCCAATGCAGGCTGATGATGTCGCTGAAACTCCCCGTCTTGACAATGGTTTTAATCCTGCGGGAGACGGTGCGGTATACAGCAGCTTATTCCCGTTACACGTCTTAGATAGCTTCAGGGCAATAATTGTTCCATTATGGTAGTACGCAGGATTATGTAGCAAACAGCTGCCTTGCGATTTCTTCAGGGGTATCACAGCCCAAAGCATAAATGTGAAGATTAATGCGAACCGAATTGCATCAAATGTACTACATAATTGTAATGTACAGTAATTATCTCTTATGAATCAGATCATGCTTTAGCTATATATTGTAATATTATGGTCGCTAACAGTGGCCGCCTGTTCTACGAATAGAGAGGTGCCTGCCATGGAACTGGAGAATTTCCACAATTGGCTTGGGGCTATTGATGCAGACAGAACTGCTGGCCCGTGCATATTTTAAGATGGGAGTCTTTCGTTTTAATGTGTGATTCATCGTTTGGTAATTACGTTTTTAAGCGTTTTGATTTCATATATAATTTTAGCAGTAATGAAACTAGTCTGTTGGCTCGGTTCGCAATCGGTGGGGTTGCGAGTTGAAATTCTGGCTCGGTTCACTCGGTCCATCATCTCCTCCCCGGGACGATAAAACAGGTACCACTTGAGGAAAAGGCAACTGTGGTTGCCTTATTGGATAGACTTCATCGCGCCTTAGAAATGTGGATTCACCACCACTGGCTCGCTACCTCATTCCTTATTTGAGCAGCAAGAAATCACTGTTGACGTTTTTTTGTGTGGTAATCAGCTGAGGCACCACAATTTATTTCCTTGAGATTTGAGGTCAGTCCCTCCGTCTTTTTGCAAATCGTACATCCAGCCTCGCAGTGCCTCCCGCTGAAGGTTTTAAATATCCCTCTGGGTTCCAGACTTCTCCTTTAATGTCACCCAGCTATTTTATGAATGTGCACAAATAGCACTAGAGGGGAGGACAAAGCCTGCTAAAAATGAATTGCCTCAGGCTGTATAGTTGCAGAATGCCAGATAAGGGGCTCTCTAAGGTGGCATTAGTCATCAAACACAAAGGGAAACGAAAACAATTCAGGCCACGGGTATGGCTGAGGTCACGTGAACGTTTATTTGAAAGGAGGAAAAAAGTTGGATTTGTCTTTGAGTGACCTTGGCAGATAACCTTGGATAAGGATAAATGGTACAGTATACGTTCATTGTCATGCAGCACAAGTCATGCATGGTATATGAATGTGAATAAATAATGACGGTGATGATGTTATAAACAGTCCGCATGATACATTATCATATGCAATCATGTATAATCCTGTTTGTATGTGAGAGTTATTTATAGCTTTTTAAGGGGTCTTATTGATTATTGTGTTGGAGGTGAATGATGGGCCAGAAAACAAGTGCCTGTATAACAGCAATGCTATTTTAAAATTACAAATTCTCAGTACAATAGTGCTTAATGCCAAAAAAAGACAAAGATCCCCGTATAGCCTTAACATACTTTTGTGGAAAGTGCTGTTAGCGAGCACCTATGAAGGCAGGCACGGCACACGAGGGGGTGGGTGGCCAACACCACGCTCAGCCGCCTTTGTCTCCCCAGTGGCGATGTTTACACACCGCACCAGGTACTCATTTGAGGCTGAGTCGACCTAGGTGAAGGCCTAGGAGCGGTTCAGATAATGGGGTTATTTCCCAATAAAAAAAACGGACAACAAATACTGAAGAATGCGCAAAGAAGCATACAGAGGCGTATGCCTGGAATTACATCGAGATAGAAAGATAAAACATTGCATTTCAGAGTTTTATGCAGGCGAATTGCATCATTCGTTCAGGTCAGTAAGCGGGGCTTGGACTGGACACGTGGCTCGGAGGGAGGATGGCCGATGGACATTAAAATCAAAATGGAATGGCAGCCAAGGAATGGAACGCTTTTGTGAGGGACGGTCCACAAAGGAGGTGGAATGATGTAATGGGTTTGTGCAAAGGTACTCTGTCGAGTATTTCATCGCAGGGTAGTCAGAGTTGGTGGCGGCTTGGGGAAGCCTTCATCCAGCAATGGAGTAATCTTGGCTGATGATGTTGCTTTTACATAGGCCACACTTTAATTGGACGTACTAACTTGTTTCTGCCTTGACCTGGTCTGGTTATGCAGCTGTTTTGCAGTCACAGCAACAATGATTAATAATGATTGATAATTATTCATCATTGCTTCTGTGGAGGTCATCGGAGGTCATCATTATCGAACAAAGAAAAAATAATTGTCTTCTCTCATTCAAATTGTAATATTTTTAGGGGCGTAAAATTAACGTTCTTTGTTCCAAAATGTTTAAAATGATAATTATGATTGCAGCTGTGTGTATTAGCTCACTGTGGTGATGGTAGTCCGGCTACAGTGCCTCTTTTTCTACATTGAGCCACGTGATCCTTTTTCTATGCAGAAAACGTGTGACCCGGTCTCTGTGGCGATGTGCCATATGCATGGTGGCTTGTTTTGTGTGATTGATCAGTTCGTCAGCTCTTTGTGGACTTTACTGTTCGTTAATTATTCATGAGATGGCCGAAAATCCCATTGCAAGGACCTTCTGAAAAAAATATCTTGAGATTTGTTTTGATAAGTCACAATTTAAGTGGTGTTCTCAGCCAATCCTGTTGGATGTTATTGTCTCCTTGCTCCTGCCAAAATTCGCCAGTTCCTCCACCCTCTTGTGGGTGGTATCAGCCTTCATAGGTGCTCGCGAAGAGCACTTGCCCCAACAGTCGCTGAAAAATTGCATGGGGGATAATTGTCATCGTTTATTCATGCACTAAGACACAGCCAACGGTTTCACTCCTCATGTGGCTCAAATAATAAGGGTGCCATGACCTTTCATAAATTGTTTGCTACCAAACTCA